ACAGGATCTTCCTATATAGTTTAGGCTGGCCTTGAACTCACTTTGTAGCCCAGGCTGGCATAGAACTTTCAGCAATCCTCCAAGCCCTGCTTATAAGCTATTATATAGTAGTAAATATTTCTTTCTATATGTATATGACACCAGTATATTAATTTTTGGTTATCTTTATGTTGCTTTTTGGAATAGTTTATACTTTTGTATTAGTAGTGACTTTTAAAGGTACAAAACAGTTTTGACAATCAATTTTAACTTACTAAGTAGTGATTGGATGATTACTTAGAGCTGAGTTTGAAATCTGATTCTGAATTCATTTCACACTTTAAACTTTAAGATGCCTCAATATTCTGAATTTGAGGGGGCTTTTTTCTCAAAACTGTATTGTTTCAAATATGTTAGTGTTTAGCTATTTAGAAGTTATCTTTGTGGTATTGTAAAAGTGAACTTTAATTCTGTAGCCAGTGTACTATCTCAGTTTTTCAAGCTTATAACTCCTGGCATTAAAAAGTCTTTTCTATTTCTTATAGGAACCATATTCTTTCCGTTTTATACCACTTCTATGAAATAGTGAAAATAAACCTAGGGGGTGCCATTGGCTTTAGTATGTTCTGAGCTTCTAAAATAATTTTGGAAGCTGGGCAAGGTGGTGCTGTAGGAGGATAACTGTTTGAGCCTAGCCTGGGCAACTTGGCAACTTAGCTGAAGCTCTGTGTCAAACATATAAAAAGGACTAGGGCCTGGTATGATGGAGCATACCTGTAGTCCTCTCAGTAGGTGAAAGCAGAATGATCACCGAGAGTTCAAGACCTGCCAAGGCTGTATAGTGACTTCAGAGCCAGCCTGAACTACACAGTGAGACCCTGATTCAAAGGAAAAAAAGAAGGCAGAGGCTCGGGATATAGCTCCTCAAAGGTCCTGGATTGAATCCCTAGTACTGTATAAATAAACTTTGTGCTGGGTGTGGTGACACACAACTGCAATTCCAATTACTTGAGAGGCTGAGGCAGGAAAATTACAAGTTTAAGACTACTCTGGGCAACTTTATCAAGACCCTGTCTTTTTTTTTTTTTTTTTTTTTTTTTTTTTTTTTTGGCTCCGAATGCTTTCAGGGCAGGTTTGGCTGACTTGAGTTGTGGGGATTGAATCACAGCAACCTGAGCCTGACTGCTTTGTTGAAGCAGCTACTTAAAGAACTGAGCTAAGGGGCAGGCCCCCCAAGACCGTGTCTTAAAATAATTAAAATGTATTTAAAAATAAAAAGTACTGGTAGTGTAGCTCAGTGGTAGAATACATGCTTAGCACATTCTGGGCCCCTGTTTAGTCTGCACTCAGATTTTTAATTTATGTTTTCAAAGGTAAGATCTTGCTTTCTAGACCAGATTAGCCTTAAACTCAAGATCCTCCTTCCTAGCCTTCCTAAATAATGGAAATACAGGCCTGTGCCACCATTCCCTGCTGAAAGCATCTCTTTAATCTGCCTCCTAATGTAGTGCCTGACACTTATATACCTTAGACATTAATATTTAATGAGCTTCTAATAGTTTAGAAGATAAAACTAAAATTATAAAAAAGTCCACTACTTTCTAAAGATAGTACTTGAAACCTGTCATGGTGGCATACACCTATAATTCCAGTACTTGGGAGGCCATGGCAGTAGGATTGCTGTGAGTTTGAGGGCAGTCTGTGCTACCCAGTGAGATGCTGCCTCGAAAAAAACTAAAAGACTTGGAGCTGGTGAAATAGCTCAGCAGACTAAAGCACCTGCTTAGGCAAGCTCAGAGACCTGCAGTTCGACCCCCAGCAGCACATGCCATGCTAGCCCCGCTCTGAGGGTGGGGCTGAGCCAGCCACAAAAAATAAATAAAAGACTTTAAAAAATGATAGTATTTAAGTGTAAAGTTCTGATCACAAATTGTTATAATTTCTGGTACTCTTTCTATTTTTTGTTTGATGTAGTGAAGAGATAGACATCCCGCTACAGTGAGCTATATCAGTACCTTGGGTGGAAAGAATTATGTACTATAACTTATACCCCAACCCTGAATCCTCCAGCAAGCCACAGCAACAGCCTTCTTTCTGTCAGGTAGCACTCACACCCAGGGAGAGCCTTCCCATTATCCACACCGAAAACTATGCCAACCAATCAGTGGACTGATTTAGTAATTACACACCCTTGATCCAAGCATCGCATCACACACTCTAGATCCAGCTGCCTCTGAGAGAGTCGCTATATGACCACAGGAGGCTTTGGGGAGACAGCTAGATACAAGCCATAAAAAACTAAATGTTTAAATTTTTTGTTTGTTTTAATAAACCAGTCATTGTTTTAATGGCTTAATTGAGGAATAACTTAACCATTATAGAATTTATGCTCTTAAAGTATATGTTTCATTGTAATTACAAGGTTAATTACACCCACTGTCTAGTTCCAGAGCATTTTAAGCACCTGCACAAAACCCTGTTAGCTATTAGCAGTTACTCCCATTTTTCTCTCCTCAACAGTCTTGTTTAAACTGTTACTTTTTAAAATTTTGATAAAATTGTTAAAAGAAAGTGTTGCTATTTATGTATATAAACTATATTATACACTTTATAAGAGCCCAAGATAATTCCTCTAAACTTAACAAAAAGGGGTGTTAAAAAAGTGTAAGCATGTTACAGTATGTATCAATAGCCATGTTGTAGCATGTACTGGTTTATACAAATCAATAGCTATGTTGTAGCGTGTCTAGGTTTAAGGTATCACCTTAAATAGTTTGTAACTGTTTTTTTCTTTTCAGTACTGGGAATTGAATTTGGGACCTTGCGCTTACCAGGCAGGCGCATATGCCCTTGAGCTATCACCCCATCCCCTGAATACCTTTTTGTTGGCAGGTATTATTCAAACTGTTCATTCTTACTCATAGGTTGTGCCAACCATTTTGGAGAAATTCAAAGAGAAGAAGCCTCAAGTGGTACAAGCCCTGCAGGAGGCAATTGATGCCATCTTCCTCACTGTAAGTTGAGATATGAATTTATGATTTTTATCTAGTAAATTTTGCCAATGTAAATTTTGATTATTACTTACAATTGAGAAAAACTCACACTGACCACATATTCTTTCTAAAGACCACATTACAGAACATTAGTGAGGATGTATTAGCAGTGATGGATAATAAAAATCCAACCATCAAGCAGCAGACCTCTTTGTTTATTGCAAGAAGTTTCCGTCACTGCACTGCTTCTACACTGCCGAAGAGTTTGTTGAAGCCCTTTTGTGCTGCTCTACTCAAGGTATATACTATCTTTGTAATTGGGGTGATACCTTAAACCTAGACAAGATTTTTTTTCTTGTAATTACATATAGTGACTGCTTGTCATGATGTAAATGATCTTTTTAGGCACAGGCCCTCTGCTACTTTGGAAATTGGATCCAAATTCTTCTAACTATTTAACTAGTTCATGTTTATTTATTTCCCCTCACACACACACATGCTGGACAGGTACTCTGCCACTCAGATATATTCCCAAAATGTTTTAAAATTTTGTTTTGAGAGTGTCTCTCTCCCTTTCTCTTTCCCACTCTTCCCCCCCTGCCTCCTTTTCTCTCTCTCCCCTCTCTTTCCCTCTTTCCCTTCCTCTCTCCCTCTCCCTATTCTTCTCCCCCTCTCCTTCTCCCTCCCTTCCCCCCCCCCACTCCTTTGAGACAAATTTTTGGTAAATTACCCAGACTGTCCTCATTAATTTAGGCCCTCCTCCTTCAGCTACCCAAGTAGCTGGGCTTACAGATGTATAGCACTATACCTGGCCCCATGTTCCTTTTCCAGAAGAAAAGCACATGTTAGCTTTATGATTCCACTTACTAGTGTTCAGGTAGATCTTGGCAAGCATAAGTATCAAATCTGCAGCTTTTAGAAATGAAGCATTTTAGATAAAAGGTGAAGGGAAAGGAAAAGTACATGCTTGTTGATGGGTAACCACAAGCTTCCTTAATCCAAAGAGAATTTGTGAAAGATTGACTGTTAACTGGCAAAAGAACAACTACAGTTAGTTTCAGTAAATTATGCAAAGCAAATTCTTTGTCCAACAACTGTCAGCTTGATTTAAAACTAGTAATACATGTAGTATATTTTGTATTAAAGATCATTTTGTGTACTTCTGGAGTATAGCACATCAATGATTCTGCTCCTGAAGTAAGAGATGCTGCGTTTGAAGCATTGGGTACCGCTTTGAAGGTGGTTGGTGAGAAAGCAGTCAACCCATTTTTAGCTGATGTAGATAAGCTCAAGCTTGATAAGGTAAGTTAGTAATACATTCTAAGGAAATAAAAGGACTAAAATGCAAGGACCTGTGTTTGATTCCCATTACTACAAAAAATAAAAAAAGAAGTGGAAAAACAGTCCTTTGCATTGTGACTTTTGTATCTTGGAAATTAGATTACTGGTGTCCTTTTGATCAGGATATCTGTTTCTTAACTACTGCTCACACTTGGAAAGAAAATTTGCATTGCACACATACAGAATTGAAACAAGTTTTGATATGGTGGTGCATTTTGTTTGCAAGTTTGTATGTTCTATTTTGTTAAGACAAAAGCTAATCACTTATGGAATTTATTTTATTATCCACTGGCAGTTCAGACTAAGAATTGGGAAACATGACTGTTAAGGTCTTAAATTTGATACTGGGCTTCAGTGGTTATATAGTTAAAAAAAAAAAAGAAACTTTCAAATTATAGCAAGTTAAACACAAAATGACCAATCTATAGGTAAGGTAAAAATATGAAATAAATTTGTAATAATCTGGACAATGACCTTTCTATATGTGAATGTCTTTAATCAAAATTGTGGCCATAGTATGTTTATTATAATTGTAACTTGAGAGAAAAAGTAATATAAGACATATAGTACCTGTTATTAAGAAAATATGGATAACTTAACTTTATTGAAAAGGAAACTTGTCTCTGAATTTTAATGTATAGTTGTGGTTTAGAAACAATATAACTAAAAAAATAAAAAATTACATGCCAAGTAATAATATAGTTGTCATGTTTCAAAGTTGGACTTAATAGTGTTTATCTCACTTTTATTTGTCAGATCAAAGAATGTTCAGAAAAAGTAGAACTGATACATGGTAAGAAAGCTGGGCTCTCAGCTGATAAGAAGGAACTCAAACCTGTGCCAGGAAGGACTGCTGCTTCAGGAGCTGCAGGAGATAAAGACACAAAGGATGTTTCAGCACCCAAACCAGGACCCTTAAAAAAGGCACCTACTACTAAGGTTAATAATGGATTAAAAATTAGAATTTAATAGAATCAGAGCCTTAGGTTGATGGTGATTCATTTAATGTGATTTCATTTGGAAAATAGGTTCATTAAGCACATTGAAAACAAAAAATCTTGGGCTGGCCAGATAGCTCAGCAGACTAAAACACCTGCTTAGGCAGGTGCAGGGACCGGGGTTTGATGCCCAGTGTGCTGTGCTGGCCCTGTCCCCAGGGTGTGCTGAGATGGTGATTGAGACTGGGTGTTGTGGCACTTACCTGTAAACTTATCACTTGGGAGGCTAAAAACAAGAGGATCACTACTAGTTCGATCTGTGTAGTGAGACTCTGTAGACCCTGTACTAAATACATTTATTTATTTTTTTTAAAAAAATTTTTTTTTTTTTTATTTTTTTATTTATTTGAGAGAGAGAGAGAGAGTGTGGTGTGTGTGTGTGGCCAGCTCAGCCCACCAGGGGGCGGGGCTGGCTGGCATGTGGTGCTGGGGGATTGAACCGTGGTCCCTGATGCTTTGCCAAGCTTGTTCTAAGTAGGTGCCTTAGACCACTGAGCCATCTCTCCAGCCCCCTAAATACATTTAAAAGAAAAAGAAAAAATATCTATTAATGAAGATACAGTATGCTAACAACACAGTTGACCATTTAAAACCTTACTAGAGATAGCCATGTATGGTGGTACACACTTGTAGTCCCAGCATGCACTTGAGAGGCTGAGACAGGAGGAATGCCGTGAGTTCAAGACCAGCCTGGGCTGCATAGTGAGTTCAAGGCCAGTCCGAACTACTTAGTGAGATGCTGTCTCAGAAAAAAAGTTAATGAAATTACCAGACTCTAGGGAGATGGCTCAGTGGAATAAGCGCTGCCTGGCAAGCGCAAGGGCCTGAGTTCAATCCCCGGTTCCACCAAAAAAAAAAAAAAAATTCTTTGGGGCTGGTGAGATGGCTCAGTGGTCTAAAGCACCTACTTAGAACAAGCTTAGCAAAGCACCGCGGTTCAATCCCCCAGCACCACATGCCAGCCAGCCCCGCCCCCTGGTGGGCTGAGCTGGCCACACACACACACACACACACACACACACAAATAAATAAATAAATAAATTTTAAAAAAAGAAATTACCAGACTCCATTTTTTTCCAGTTTTTTATTATGTTAAATAAATATAATGAATTTTACTATCATCAGTGGTATTAAATATATTTATAATCTTGTGTAGCTGTCACCAGTGTTGAACCCTGTAATGGAAACTTTTATGCCCATTAAATAGTAACTGTCCCAAAACCTTCCTTCCACCAGCCCCTGATAACCATCATTCTTTTCATTTTTTGTTGTTTTTGTGGAACTGGGGATCTAACCCAAGGCCTTGCCTTTGGTAGGCAGGTGCTATACCACTGAGCTATACTTTTAGCCACAATTGGATGGTTGATTTATTACTGTGCCTTAAACCCACATTTTTTTCACTGTGCTACATCCGCAGCCCTTTACTTAATTTTTTTATTCAGTTTTAAAGATAAGGTCTTGGGCTGGTGAGATGGCTCAGTGGTCTAAAGCACATACTTAGAACAAGATAAGCTAAGCAAAGCACAGGGACCGCGGTTCAATCCCCCAGCACCACATGCCAGCCAGCCCCGCCCCCAGGTGGGCTGAGCTGGCCACACACACACACAAAATAAATAAATAAATACATAAAAATTTAAAAAAAATAAAAAATAAAAATAAAGATAAGGTCTTGCTAAATTGTCTAGTCTGAACTTTCAGTCTTCCTGTTTCACAGTGCCAGATTACGGATCCCAGCTGGTATCTATCTATTTTGTGACTATCTTATTTCACTTAACATAATGTTAGATTAAGGTTTATTTATGTTGTAGCATGTGTCAGTATTGCCCAGATTGGTCTCAAACTTGTGATTCTCTTGCTTCAGCCTCCTATGTAGCTCCTTTACAGCATATATCGCTACATCCAGCAGAAAATTTCCTTCCTTTTAAAGGCTGAATAATTCTCTGTTGTGTGCTATACCACAATTTGCTTATCCACTTAATCTATAGTTTTTGTTTGTTTCTTTGTTTTTGGTTTTTTTTTTTTTTTTTTTGTTTTTTTTTTTTTTTTGTATTTTAGGGAAGGGTCTACAGGGTGTAGAGTCTCTGTATAATGTTTGCAGCCTCCCAAGAGTGGGATTACAGGCTCGCTACCACGCCCAGTCTCAATTGCCATCTCAGCACGCGGGTGGGGGGGGGGCCTGGGGATCAAAGCCCCGGCCCCTGTACTACCTTGCTGGCACTTTAATCTGCTGACCTATTTGACTGGCCCTAACCTGTAGTTTTGATTAGCATTTTCCTAATGATAAACATCTTTCTACGTGATTATTGGTTATTTACCCTCTTTGGAGGAAGTGTTTTAGAGTTTTGGGCCCATTTTTCTTCTTTCATTTATTCTTTTCTTTTGGAACATAGGTTCTCCCTATGTAGTCCATGCCATCCTTGAACTTGCTAGGCAGCACAGGCTGGGCTCTTAACTCACAGTCTTCTGATGTAGCCTCTCAAGTGCTGGGATATAGGTGTATGCCACCACACACAACTCCATTATTATTTTTTTTTAACTCCATTATTTTTAATTGGGATTTTTTTTGTTGAAGAATTTTGGGTATTCTGTCTGTTAATACATATGAATTCCTTATCAGATGTATGATTTACAAACTTTTTCTCTTTATTGGTTGTCTTTTTACTGTTTATATTGTGTTTCACTCACAAAAATTTAAATTTTAGTCCAGTTTGTTTTTGTGGGGGTGTTGTTGTTGTTGTTGTTGTCTTTTTGAGACAGCTTGTCTATACAGTTTAGGCTGACCTTGAGCTCACTTTGCAGCCCACACTGGTCTGGAGCTTGCGATGATCCTCCTATCTCAGTGTTTTTGTTAATGTTCTTGCTGCCTCTAGCATTGTTTCCCTGAGAAACCAGTGCCAAATGTAAGGCCCTTGAATTTTTTACCCTTGAATTTTTCTGAAATTTTATAATATTAGGTCTTAGATTTAGGTCTTTAATCTGTTTTGAGTTCTTTTTTACTTAGTATGAGGTAAGGCTCCAACTTATTCTTTTATCTTCATACATACAGTCTTCCTGGTGTTGGAAATACTGTCCCAAACATTGAATGATTATGTTATCCTTGTTAGAAATCACTTAACTTAAAAAGAAAGAAAGAAAACACTTAAATTGAATGATGAAGTAACTCAGTGGTAAATCTTGCTTAATATACAAAAATCCTAGGATCAAGCCCCAGATCCCTAAAATGAGTGAATGAATGGGGGTGAGGCATAAAGGAAAGGAGAGGAGAGGCGAGGGGGCGGAGGAGAGAAGGGAGGAAATGGTGGCATAGGCCTATAATCCCAGCACTCAGGAGGCTGAGGAAGGGTAAGAAAGGAGTATCACCACAAATTTGAGGCCAGCATAGGCTACAGAGTTGAGACCGTGTCTCAAAACACAAAAGGAAAATGACCAGTGACCATATATGTAAGGAGGAGTGCTTTTATTCCCCCTTCTCCACTGAGGTTCCAGGATTGAAGCCAGGGCCTGCCACATGCTAAGCATGTGCTTTACTATTGAGTTACGTACCTTACCCTCCAGTTTTTTTTCTTTAATTTTATTTTGAGATGGGGTACTTGTGTTTCCAACTTCCTGAGTAACAAAGAGTATTAGGTGTCTACAATCACCTGGCCAAAGGAAGGAGTACATGTTAATAGATCAGAAAATATTAAATAATAAAATGTAGCAAGACACTGAGCAGTAATAACATCACCTTAATTATTTTGCTAATGCTCCACTTGACCAAGGGAAGGAGTACATTTTAAATGATCAGACAAGATCATTAAATAATGAAATAAAATGTAGGGAGATGTTTAGTGTTAGTTGGTCATTGACCAATTGAACATTACCTAAAAAATACAGAAAGAAAAAAAAGGGCTGGCCAAATAGCTGAGTGGATTAAAGTGCCCGCAAGCAGGCCCAGGGGCCAGGAGTTTGATCCCTGGGCCTACCATGCCAGCCCCGCTCCCAGGGTGCTCTGAGATAGCAGTTGAGACTGGGCATGGTGGCACCCATCCGTAATCACAGCACTTGGGAGACTGTACATAAGAGAATCACTACGAGTCCAATCTAGTAGTGAGACCCTGAACATCCTATAGGCCTTTCCCTAAAAAATACAGAAGAAAAAAAATTGAGCATTACCTTGGTCATTTTGCAAATGCTTCAGTATCACATCATTTGGTCTTCATATCAGTCTACATCTCTCCTCTGTACTGTGTAGATTTGGGACAAACACCTAGTGGCAGCTATCCCAATCTCTTTTTCTTTCTGCCTGCTTGCCTGCCTGCCCTCCCTCCCGCCCTCCCTCCTTTCTGTCTGTCTGCCTGTCTGTCTGTCTGTCTTTCTTTCGTGTATTTAGTATAGTGTCTACAGGGTCGCACTCCATAGATTGGACTCATAGTGATTCTCTTCTATTTTCAGCATCCCAAGCACTGGGATTACCATGCCCAGTCTCAATCCCCTTCTCAGCGTGCCATGGGGGTGGGGGCATGCTGGGGATCAAACCCAGCTGCTGCCTTCTGCCTAAGCAGACATTTTAGTCCACTGAGCTATCTGATTGGCCCCCAATCTTTCAGTGAAGATGTTTCCTTAAGAATGAAAGATACAAAAAAAA